ATTGTTATAGTATTGTTATTACAACTATTATAATTTCTGTTATAATTTATAACAGAAATAAATATTGCATTTAAAATAACTACGAACTATAATACTATGATATTATTTGCCTTATAATATAAATGCATAATTATTTTCCTGTCCAACTACTTATGTAAGTTTCAATTCCAATTATTAAAATTATAATTACTTTGTAAATTAAATTGAAATTGCAAATGGACTTAGAACACTTTCAAAATAAACCAATCCAAGTTTTATTTGATTCGATTGAATTGTGATTTTTTGATTGCATTCAAATATTTTAAATAAAATAAATTTTAAAATAAATTATAAAAATAATACGGAACGAAAATTACAATTTTTCATAAAAAAAAAAAAAAATATGGAATTTTAATAAATTACTCATATTTATTTTTATACCCATAGACTTAAATAAAATATAGATAAATAAATTTAAATATAAATTTATGCATAAATGTAATGAAAAGTAAAAAGTGAACGAGCGTGCATACCTAGTTGTTGTTTATTAAGCCCACTGAAAAAAAAACCTATCATATTCATAAATATGTTAAAATAATACCTGTATGTTTGTTTGTATGCATAAGTGTGTTCGAATATAAATAATTGTATAAGATGGAAAAAACAGAAAAAAAAAAACTACTTGCAATATTTATTTTTTTTTTTCGCTGATTAAGGAAACTAGTAAAATTGTATGTTTATATGTATGTACGTATTTGTACACACACACAACATTTATACCTGATTTTTTCACTTTTTATTTTATGATTTTTTTTTTTTTTCATTAAAAATAAAACGAGTTAAAGCTGTCGTCTGACCTTGAGAAACCGTCGATGATTGTGCGTTTGAATTTTTTTTTTCTTTTTCTTTTTAATTTTCAAACAAAAATTCATGTTTATAAATTGCGACAGTAAATGGCATAATTAAAAAAAATAAAAATTCAAAAATGAAATAGCAAAAAAAAAATTTTCTATTTTTGCTAATTTTAAGAAATCTTGTCTAGCTGGGATGGAGTGAATGAAATTTTTATTATTGTGTGCATTATAAAAAACACAGCGAAGAAAGAGAGAAAGAGACAGAAAGAAAGAATAGCAAAAAAAAAGCAAAACGAAATTAATATTTTAGGTAGGAAGGCAATGCTTTAAATTTTTATTTTCATTTTTTTTTTGTATTTCTTTCTCTATTTATTCAAACAATTTGACTGACTGACTAAATTTTCATGTCTGCATAACTATTGTACGCATTCGAAATTGATAAAATGTAGATATACGAAATGTCTGTTTTGAGTTTTATATACTTTTAACCTTGGCATATTTTTTTTTTATTATTATTTTTTATTTGCGTGTCTTTTGTGTAACTAATAAAATAATTTTGTTTCATTATTGCCATTTCATATTTTTTGCCACCTTGTTTTTATTTCTTCTCTTTTTTTAACTGATTTAATTTATAATACACACTCTGTCAGCACAGCAGTTTATTTAATATCATAAAACATTTTTTCTTTTGTTTTTTTTTTTTTTTGCGAATAGGAAGTGCGTAGAGGAAAACTGTAAATCTAAAATTTTGAAAATTTACTTCTCTTTGTTATTTTTTTTTCTCAACTATTTTTGTTTGTCTTTTCAAATTTTTGTTTGATTTATGGTGTGAACATTAAAAAAAAATTTCGCAAACACTTATAACTGTCTTATAAATAATATAAAGAGCGTAAGTTATTGCAAATATAATTTTGATAGAATGTAAATCTGAAATTAGTAATGCCTCTTAAACATACTAGATCAAAAGTTACAATTTATCAATTTGGTTAAAAAACAATTCTTGATAATTCTACCTAGTATTTTAGAACGTATTTAGTTGCGACTATGGACTTTGAAAGAACTTTTACTCCTTCTTCTATTTTTATTATTTCCGTATACTTGCACATATATACACATACAAATATTAGTAATATTATTAACTCAAATTAAAAATTATAATAAAAATCATTTACCATTTTAATATCGAAAATTAAAATGAAAATAAAATTTCGGTGTTTAAACACCTAAAAAGAAATGAAATGATTCAAGATTGTTCCTTTGAATTAAAATAATGAAAAAATGTTACAAATAAAAAAAATTAAGATGTAGCTATCAATTAAAAAGCGCAACAAGGATTTGAAAGAAAAGCAGAATTTACGAGAACGAACAAAAATAAAATTTAAATGAATTTTTTTTTCACTCCATCCCTGTGCTTGTTCTATACTAAATAGTAAATAAACATTGTTTTCATAATTATTACCACACACAAACTGCATGGTATAATATAAAATTTTCGGATATTTACAGTAGCGAACAAAAACAAAAAAAAAATTAAGAGAACAAACAAAAAAAAAAACACATTCATTGTTTATAATTTTTTCGGAAATAAGTTTCAGAAATTTTCAATATTCAATAGGTACCTATTAGAATTATTTTTATACGGGCAATAGGTATATTCCTCTTCCTCTATGATGTTTGCTGTTACTTGATAATGTTAACTACTACATGATATTATAACCGATTTGATATTTCACTAAATTATTAATCTAAGTGAGAGTTTTCTGCTAGTTAGTTGCATGCTACCGATGTAATCTGCATGTTAGTACTATTATTATAAGAAGAAGGGAAAATGGGGTATTGAATGGGTTCCTATACATTTAAACATAATATTTTTAATGTTAAAATTTTAATGTGCTTAATGCATTGGGACTTATGTAAGTCTTCATACAAAATCCGTTCGATAAATCTAAACGGCAAAATCATTAAACATAGCTTGCTCGAAAATTACAGTGCTGTAATTTTTCGAACGAGTGCTGTAATTAAATAGAAAATTATTAGATATTGGAGAATAAATCGAGTATGGTTACAAATTTGCCAGATATGTATGGAAAAATTTATAAAATTTGGAATTTTCAATACATGTCTGAATTATCAAAGATCCTCTAACTCTCGAATTGCATTTAAATGTCATAAAATTTTAATTTGCTACTGGCTGTACGGTTTCCATATAAACTCGTATTTAAAAATAAAATTAGGTTTTATTTTTTTAATTTCTTTACAAATGGCGGTGTATTTTTTTTTTCTTGTATACAAATCGGAAATGAAATAAAAAAAATTTATTTTTTTTTATATAAAATAAAAGCGATCTCACTAAATATCATTAAATATTATTCACTTTCATGTTATACATATGGGGTACCTAAAAAAAAAAAACATAAAAATTATGTATTTGTAACAATTTTTGGTTTTTTTTTTTTATTATTGCAATAATCGCGCGTTACTGTAGTTTCAACAACAAAGTGATTTTCTAACCCACCAAATCTTTCGTATACACAGTAATTGTTGTACTACTTACTGGTTTTTTTTTTTTAAATATTTCAGTAATCAAGAAAACCAGTTTTACTTAACTTTTTTTTTTCTTTTCTTATTTTTTCTTTAACAAAATATTATGTCACGCTTTAATAAGAGACAGAAAATAAAAATTCAGTGTTTTGCCTTTTTTTTTTTTTAACTTAATAGTGGAGTATTTTATAAAATATTTAATGACGATTATTTTAAAGAGAAAAAGATTTTTTAATAGTTTTGTTAGAATTTAGTTTTTTTAGTACTTTGATCTTTTTTTAAAATTTTAATTTTAAATTAGTGAAAAATATGTTTGTAAATAAAAATGTGTGCGTAAAAAATTATTTTAATTTCTTTTTTAAAAATTTGGTGACATTTAAATTAATAAAAAAAATTCAATTTCGAAACGTGAGACGAAATTAGCAGCCTTTCGTTCTGAGAAATTAAATTCCATTCGTAGAAATTCGGAAAATTACGAATGTCATGTTGTCTATTTCGAATTATAAAAAAAATTTTGCTCCGAATCTTCGTGTTAGAGTTTAATCATAAATTACATATGTTTGTAGTAAAAATAAATGTCAAAATGGTGTACGACAGTAATAATCAAATATTGTAATTGGCAATTATTTAAAGAGAAGGATCGTTTTAAATTTTTAAGTTTTGAATTTTTTGTATGTTTTCTATTGTCTCTCTTCTTATATCTCTACGAGAGAGTAGATTTGTGATGACCATTCAAAAGTCTATGTCGTGGTTCAGTTCGTAATTCGTAGGATTCTACGAGTGAAATTCGTTATAGAGCTGTAAATTTTGCATAATTTATAAATAAAGCAAACTACATACTTACATTTACTACTTAGTTATTAGTGTAATGTGCACAATTACAATTAAATTTTTTGACTTACTGTGGCCAGCCTGCATGAATATTTTTTTTAAGAAAATAAACCAATAAAATGGCGTTTCTTAAAGAAAATACTGAAGTTTTTAGGTCGGTCATTTTAACAATTTAATTTTTTTTAATTTCTTAACTTTGTTTATCCTTTTAAAAGATTTTTATTTTTAATAGTCGTAGAGAATTCTTTTTTTCCTATAAGTAATAAATTTTTTTTTTAATCTTAAGTATAAAAGAAAAACTGATGCGTTTCAAATTAAACTAGTTGAATGTTATTAAATTTTATCCTTTCGTCTTGCATCCTCTATTTGATGTTTGGGAAAAAAAAAATTTAATTTGAAATTTTTTTGTGTAAATCCTTTTTTACGACGTTTATTTTGTCTAAATTGTAGAAAAGAAATTATATGTATATAAACACACACATATGTAAATGAATTAGGGTTGAAAACAAAAAACAGTTTATAAATAATCTCACCTCAAATGAAAATCAAAATGGAAATCAACCCCAAAATATTAGAAAATTTCAAAATGGAAGATGTTTTTTGCGTTTCACAAATCGGATATTTTATTATGTTACATTTTCTTTTTATATAAATCTACATACATACATAAAACTTTAAATTAAAAAGGGATAAAATTTTTACTTATGTATATTTTTTTTGATATAATAATTAAGTTTATGCATTTATGATTTTATTTTTAATTCTTTCTAAAAATTTTTTTCCCTTTTATTTCAGATATAAGGGTGGTAGAGGACCGGTTTTAAGATCTAGCGATCGACGTCGTCCTCAAACAACTTCAACATCTCCAGTATCACATCGTGTTATGTTATCACGTTTATCATATCAAGTAGCAATATTAGACCAAAGAAATACAAGAAGTAGAAGTGGTTATAATATGGGTCAAAAAAATAGTGGTGGAGTTAAATCGGTAAGCCGTGATACACCGGCAGCATTTAAACCAGTTATACCAAGAGAATTGGCAGCTGATTTTACAAGACCAGCTAGATTAGATATATTATTGGATATGCCAATAGTAACACGTGAAACACAATTAAAATTTTCATGGAATGGTGAAGATAGATCATTAAATATATTTGTTAAAGAAGATGATAAATTAACATTTCATCGGCATCCAGTAGCACAAAGTACAGATTGTATAAGGGGGAAAGTTGGTTTTACAAAAGGTTTACATGTATGGGAAGTATATTGGCCAACACGACAACGTGGTACACATGCTGTTGTTGGTGTTGCAACATCAGAAGCAGCATTACATTCTGTAGGTTATCAAAGTTTAGTTGGTTCAACAGATCAAAGTTGGGGTTGGGATTTAGGTAGAAATAAATTATATCATGATTCTAAAAATTGTGCTGGTATTACATATCCAGCAATATTAAAACAAGATGAAGCCTTTTTAGTACCAGATAAATTTTTAGTAGCACTTGATATGGATGAAGGTACATTAAGTTTTATAGTTGATGGTCAATATTTAGGAGTTGCATTTAGGGGTTTAAAAGGAAAAAAATTATATCCAATAGTATCAGCTGTATGGGGTCATTGTGAAATTACAATGAAATATATAGGGGGATTAGATCGTAAGTAACATATTATAATAAAAAAATTATTCAATTCAAATTTTTTAGTTTTACAATTTTATAACAAAATTTTATATTCTTTTAATTAAAATTTTATTTATTTTGTTTTTTGTTTTTTTTTTTTAGCTGAACCATTACCACTTATGGATCTCTGCAGACGTGTTATACGTCAAAAAATAGGACGAAATCATTTAGAAGAACGAATTCAAGAACTGCAATTACCTCAATCAATGAAAACTTATTTACTTTATAGAGATCGTAGATAATAATATGTTTGTCGTCGCCGTTGTCTGATATAAAAGCAATGTGTATGAATGTTTAATTTTATTTTTTTTATTTTAATTTTAAACAACAAGATTTTCGCGGTAATAATAATTATAATTATACATATATTTAATACTAGTTTTTATAAATACATTATAAAACACACAAATAAACAAAAAAAAAAAACAAAAATTAAAAAGAAAAAAAAAAAATATTAAATAACATCGAAAGAAAAAAAAGAAACACAAAAATAATATAAAAAATTTTAAAAGACACAAAAATCTCGTAGATATTTCAGCTTTTTTTAAAAAAACACAATTGTAAATTAATTTTAAAAATTTTATTTTAATTTTAAAACAAAAAAATCTTCTAGGAAACTTTTTTTTTTTTTCCTAAAAAATTATACAAAATTTTAAACAGGGTACGCATTTTAAATAGAACGTATTTTAGAAAGTATTTTGATTTCCTTTTATTATTTCCATATGATTTAATTAAAGAAAGAGTTCAAAAATAGCAATATACAAAATTTAATTATAATACACGAAATTATTCAATAAAAAAGATATAACTGATTCATTATTTTTAATTTTATATAAAATTTTATAATTATTTTTTCTTACAAAATAAAAGAAATGATTTTTTTTATAATTTCTTATTCTTATTATCTAATTTGACAAATACTATCCTTTTTGGTAAATGTAAACTAAATTGAATCGAACATAATCTACCCGTGTGTTCTGTTAGTCGAAATACCTGATATGATGGCTTTTTATTCAAAAATCTCATAATCTTTTTCAGTATATAAAATTAAATCCGAAATTCTAAATTATATACTAAAAAAAAATAAAATTCTCTTCAATACTGTCCCATCATCTCAAGTGATACGATTATCAGAATATAGACGAATATTTTATTGTATTAAAGTTTTAATTTAATATCGACTGTAAAAATCAATAAAAGAATTTTTAAAATTCTTGCTTCCTTTTTAAAAACAGACACACTCACCTCAATGGTCGATAATTTTGCATTCAAGTGTTAATTTAGTACGCAAAACGAACTTAATTTATTGTAATATAAATTCATATTTTATTAGTATTTATTTTATAATTTAAATTTAATAAAGATTAATGTTTAATTTTGATAACAGATCATTTCCATTTTATTGATCTAATAAAAATAATAACAAAAATAAAATAAAAGTTTTCCATTAGTTTAAAAAAGTTATTTTTTTATAATATAAAACAAAAATAAAAATTATGAAAAACTAATCAGTTATATCTTTTTTATTTTGTATTGAGATTTAATTTAAATATTTTTCATTATTATGACCAATATTTATTAATAATTCCTATTATTTTTTTTTTTTATTGTATAAAATTTATTTTTATACAATCATTTTTGCATGTTTATATTTAAGAATTATAAAATAAAAATAAAATTAATATTTAATATTTGTAAATTTTCTTTTCAAATTAGTTTTCAATTTATTCTTAATTGATAATGTTCAGTTTAAGTTAAAAACAATGATCTGCAGAATTTTCTAAATTTTTTAAATATTTTATGTTAATTTTATTTTTATTGTATCAATTGATGAATCATTTGCCATTTGCCTCTTAATAGGCAAAAAAAATGATTTTTAACTATTTTTATTTTGTATTTTAGTTTAAGCAGAAAAAATTATAAAATTTTAAAATTGTATTATGGAAAGATAGAAGAATATCAATAACAAAAAAAGAAAACAAAAAATTAAAAATTTTAACTTCAGAAATGATGTATATGCAAAATTTGGAAAATGCAAATATAAAGAAAATTGTCAATGATAAAACAATTATAAATAATATTCCTGCATATTGTACACAAAATATGCATTAATTAATATTATATAATTAAATATCTTTCTTTTGAAAAAGCAAAAAAAAAATATAAACAATTTAAGAAAACGAAATAATTAAATTAAATAAATAATATATACATATATTTAGTTATATATTAATTATATACCAAAATTAAATTAAATGTATAGTTATAAAATAAAATAAAGAAAAAATAAGAAAACAAATTTTTACAAAAATTAAGAAAATTGTGACAAAATTATTAGAAATCGCTTCCCTTTTGAAAAAAAAAAAATTAAATTAACGCACACATTAAAAGATGTGCATTGTATTGTTTTCTTCTTTTTTTTTTTCTTTTTTTTTTTAAATAAATTATAAACAAACAAATATTTAATATTGTAATAAAATAAAAAAAAAAACAATAATGCCAAAATAAGAGAAAATTTTATAATTTTGTATTTTGCTTCAATTCTTTAGCAGTAAATTTTTTTATATTCTTCATACTGCAACAGTTTGTAAATTTTCTTGTTGTTCAGATATTTAATAAAATCTAGAAAAAACAAAGAAATAGAAACTAATTAATTTTAACTTTTGAGTATAATAAAAACGATATTAAAATAACATATTTAAAGCGCAACACTTACACAAAGTACTTGAATATCAATCCTTATTTAGTGTGATTGTTGGTCTAAACTTCTAAAATAACATCGGTTTTTTTTAACAATAATATACTTGATATTTAAAAGCTATTATGTTTGTTAATTTATCAAAATTTTTTATTTAAATTTTACAGTGCTTTGAGATACATATTGCTAAAATATGCTGAAAATTATTATTTGAAATTCTAAACTTAAAATCTCAATATTTTTCATTAATATTCCATCACTTTATATGATGAATTTTCGAGAATATGAATGATTTTCTTATTGCTAAAATTAGGTGATCTCTACTAATTAATTGTATCAATTTAAATTTATAATTTTCCAATTTTTGAATTATTAATTTCACTTTTAACAATTTCGGTTCAAATAAAATTTATTTGCATTTAATTTTAACAGCTAAAGAAGAATTCATTTGTTTTGCCATTAATATTATTTTTATAAAAATATAAATACAAAATAAAAACAATTAATTATTAAACTCAACAAACATTATAAATTTAAAGGAAACAATAACATCAATTAAAAAAGAAAAACATTATCAAATCTATATTAAACTAAAAAAATGTTTGCCTTTTTGATAGAAAAAAAAAAATTTATAATTAATTACAAAATAAAATAATATAAAAAAAAAAGAAACAAATTTTTGAAATAAATAAGAATTATATAACTATATAAAAAAATATATTAAAAAAAGATTTTTAAAATATATAATCAAAAAAATATATAATAAAATATACATGCATTCATATTTAGCTATATATTTTTTAAAAATAATTAAGAAATTCATCTGAAAAAAAAATAAACTCAAAAAGTTCAGTATAATTTGATTTGATTTGTTTTTTTGTTTTCTATTAATCGCATAATTTTTAACAAACGCTGTATTAAAGCCCAAAATATTTCAATCAAAACAACACACAAATAAGAATATATTATATATGTAGATTTATAAAATAAAATTAAAAATATACTTATAGTTTTATTATTATTATTATTATTATTATTATAATTATATTTTTGCAATAATGAATGCTCTATTATTTGAGCATAAAAACATATTCATATATATTTAAAAATATATTATATTTTTTTTTTATTACTCGTAATAATAGCTAAGCAATCTCTTAACATTCTTAAATACTTTTAATATTTTCGTATTATGTACTTGTTTTCCAACAAATTATATCAAGTTATGGCAATTTTTTATAAGTCGTTTTAATAAATTCTTTAAAATTAAATAATCTAATAGAATGAAAATAATTTAACAATTAAAGTAACTTAATTGTATATTAAAAATAAAAAACTAATTACTTTTATAAAATTTTAATTTTTCATAAATCGCATAAGATATAATCGATAATGTCAAATATCAATCAACAATAATTGTATCAGATGGCCACTAATCGAAAATTAACTTTTGCATGCAATCGTTTGATTGACAACTGTTTTAGCAACAATTTTATTTTTAATTTTAATATTTTTAGTTAATTTTATTTACTAAAATTAACTTATACTATTTAAAATTTTCTATTCTATTCTATACAAAAAACAAAAATTGCTATTAAATATTTTTTTATTACAAAAATACCGGCAATTAATTGAATTATTAATTACGTGGCATTTGTTTTTTTTTTTTGCATTATCGATTACACACTACAAATGCAGGCATACTCTGTTGCAAATATTAAATGTTACAATGCTTTCATTAACTGCTGCGACATATCGATTAAGATGCAAAAGAATTCAACGGACATTTTATTTACATTATAAATTAAATCTTATTAATTAATTTAATAAAAATAACAGAAACGTTTAACCGTGCAATTTATCTTGTGTGGAAAACTATACTTATTATAATTTTATTCTTGTTTACTTGCTTACTTGCTCTGGCTATATTTTCAAATAAATCCATTCTTTGTTTTTTTTTTCCATTGAATATCAAAAAAAAAAATTTATAATTCAATTTTTATAAATTTTTTGTTTTTTTTTTTAAATTTAATAATGTATAATATCAGTGTAAAAAAAAATCTGTGATTTCTGTATTTCAATATTAATTTACTAAAACAAATTAAAATAAAAAAATAAAAAAAACGAAAGATTTCAGTGCTGCATCACAATTTAAGTTCTTATAAATTCATGATTAAAATAAAGATTTTAAAATAAAAACATTTTATAATATATTTTAAGTTTTCAGAAATATATAATTAACATTTTACGGCCTTTTTTTCGTAATATACATAATATATATATACATGATTGTACAATGAGATTTAATTAATATTAATGGCCAGATTTATTTTATACATATACAAATTTTTTTTGTTTGTTTTTTTTTCTAAAATAATTTTTTAAGTGCTAATTATTTACTAGCTTTACAAAATAGTTTTTTTTTTTTTTTTTTACTACTACTACTAATTCTTGTATTATATAATTTATATAAAATAAAATAAATAATTAAATAAATAATATAAAAAATTGTTTTGTTTGTTTAAAATGAAAAAAATAATGACTGACAATTTTTAAAAGAAATAAAAAAAACAAGGCAAAATTTATGCAATTTAAATTACAAATCTTGCATATATAAATTAATAAAAATATTAAATTTAAATAATATATAAATGTAAATGCAAATTTAATAATATTTGTATGCCCTTAAAACAATATAACGAATAATAATTAATTATGAAAAAAAAAAATGTTACATAAAATTTAATAAAAAAAAAAAATGAATTTTATGTTTTAAGGTTTGTAAATATATAAAATTATTAAAAAAT